TCATTTTTATGAGATAGTTTTTTAATTAATAATTAGTTTTTTTTAACTAGTATGTCAAACATAACTTTAATTTATTTTTTATTGTTATAATCGAATAAATTATTAAATTAGATAGCCTTTAGATTTCTTTGTATTTATAAAAATATGTTTTCAAATAATTATTCTATAGCTAAACATCTTTTATAAGTAATACATTAACCAACTATTTTTTTATAGGGATAATGACTTAGGAAGGTAATAAGGTTTTCAGTTTGTCCGTATTAGGTCACTAAGGTTTTTTTTGTGCGTAGTAGACCAATATGATTGTTATTACTGTTTAAAAGTAGTCATTTTACCGGTTTTAACAGTTAAAAAAAAACTATTTCTAAATGGTAATAACAACCATATTGGTCTAATACGCACAAAAAAAACCTTAGTGACCTAATACGAACAAACTGGAAACCTTATTACCCTCCTAAGTCATTAACCCTAATTTTAAAGACATTGAGAATATATGACCATCAACAGTAAACTACTTCGTTTAGAACTCGCGTCGTCCCATATAACATGTTACTCTTCTATATGGCGAAACTCTTCATCTATAGTCGTCCCTTTGGGGACGTCCGATAAAATTGAAACGATACAGAGAAGATTAGCATGACCCCTGTGCATGGATGACACACACAAATCGAGAAATGGTCCAAAATATTTTTTAACCCTTCGTTGTCTTCTCTGGAACCCTAATTCCCTTTTCAAATGCTAATAGAGTTCAATTGCAATTCTTACGTTTCAACAGTTCATCTACTGAAGTCATGATCAGACAACATGTGGATTCTATGGTCAGATTGATCTTCTTGTTGATGTCTTCAACCATTTGTGGCAAGTAAGGGTGATCTTTCTTTCTATAAAGTCTCCTTTAAGTTTTTTACTTTTCCTGTCATTAAGTTTCATGCTTTATAAACTTCCGTTTATGTGTTGTATATAGTATGTATGTATTGTTTATGTGCTGATTTTTTTATTCATTTTGCAACTTCAGTTTCTTAGTTCATGTTGTCGTTTTGCTTTTTATAAAATAATTGATAATAGACATCCTATACAAGTCCCTGTTGGTTTTACATTTCCATTCGTTATCAAATGTAGACATTGATGGGAGGTATCAAAGTGAGATTTTGTTTTTGTACATATGGATGTGTTCATGTAAACATTTAAATGATAAAAACGAAGTTATTGATAAAATGTTGCATATTTATGTAATTAAGATCATCAATCATATGAGTTTCTGGACTTAGAAGTTCTGGAAGGGTTGTGAGATAAGTTTAAATGGAAGTAATTATTTTCAATCAAACAAATCATTCACATTGATTAGTAAGCATGTTTTCTAAATAATTAGGGTTAATGACTTAGGAAGGTAATAAGGTTTCCAGTTTGTCCGTATTAGCTCACTAAGATTTTTTTTGTACGTATTAGATCAATATGGTTGTTATTACCGTTTAGAAATAGTCTCTTTTACCCGTTAAAACCGGTAAAATGACTATTTCTAAACGGTAATAACAACCATATTGGTCTAATACACACAAAAAAAACGTTAGTGACCTAATACGGATAAGCTGGAAACCTTATTACCTTCCTAAATCATTATCCTTTTTTATATGGAACAAAGACGTATTATTTACGAGTTCTAAACATGTTAACGATACAGGGTTTTGCTTACACCAATAAGTTTCATTATCTTTTAATTTATCTAACTTTTATTCATATTTTACATGATCTAAATTCAACCGTTCCACGTGTCAAAAACCTTCCCAAGAACAACAAAACTCTTCCAATTACGTGACCTATAAACTCTAATGCTATGGTCACACTCGTTCCATATCGACCATCACTAACAAAGAAAGAAATATTATAAAATTCCATTGTCTAAAACATGTCACGACATGCTCCAGATTAGTAAAAGCTAAAAATAATATATATTATTATGTTATAACTTTGTAAACAAAAATGGTCATTAGAACAATCTAGAACCAATCGCCAATGGCCAAACAAAATAATAACAATAACAATTTTGGAAACTTTAAAATTCAAAATTTCCAATTCTTTTTTTTTTTTCGACTTCATTCAGTATCTTAATAAAATCGTAATATGTCATCATATGTATATTTATCACAATTTTAATTCGATTGGAAAATAAAAAATTAAGTAAAAGGGATGATGACGGAAGGTGGTCGGTTAGGCACATTGAATATAAAAACCTTTGGTGGAGGAAAAAAGTATATGCAAAATTCAAATATTATAATTATAATTAAAAGCCAATAATGGCGATTAAAAATAAGATGCTTCAATAATTATGTAATTTAAAATGATTAAGTGAAGCGGCGTGGCCTTTTGTGGATCGTACACGTGTTGAGGTCAATTCAAGTGGTAGGACCCTTATATTGTTTAAAGAAATCCTAGCCAATGAGGGCGGAGCTTTACAAAGTTTGGACGGTTTTAAGGTTGAAATTTTCTGTTACAATGCCATGGTAGCAATTAGAATCATATAGTTTTGTTTGTTTATTTCAAAATCGGCATACAGTTAAAAATATACTAGAATGCATTCCATTATTTCCATCATATTATTTATGAATATAAATTATTTATATTATGTTTTTATATATGATACTAAAAAGTTATTGATAATATATTAGTTTATAATTTGTGAAAATAACGGTTAAAAAAATTAATTAATTTTCATATTAAAAAATTAAAATTCTGAATTAATTATTTTAAATAAATTATTACTTGAAAGATATTTTTTTTTATTTATATAAAATTATAATCGTTGATTTAAATAAATACGTAAAGTTATATTACATTATAATATGTATTTATTTTATTTTATTTTTTAAACTAATATTATTAGTTTAATATAGTTAGAGTGGAAAATTTTAAATTTGAAATTTAAAATGAAGAATTAATTATTAATTTAATGTAACTAGAGTGAGAAATTTAAAATTTAAAATGGATAATCAATTATTAATTTAATGTAATTAAAATCGAAATTTGAAATGGATAATTAATAGGTTGACAAGTGGAATGATAGATGATATATAATAGTATAATATTAATGAAAATTTTGAATTGTATGACACTTATCAATAGGAAAATAAACATATTTTTTTATTAGAATATGAAGATGAAAATATGAAGATAAATATAAAGATTTATGACATTTAAAAATGATATGGTTAAGAACATATTTGACTTGATAATATATGTTCCCATTTGACCCACTATACATAAATAAGTTTAAATCATCTTTTATTACTAGTAGTTTATTGGTGTAATTAAAAACTATCAAATTCATTGTAAGGATAATCACCCTTGAAGTGGGTTTGTTGAGATCTTCATTATAAAGAAAAAAATACAAAAGATAATTTAATAAAATATACAAAATATACCCTAACTATGGAAAACATACACGGAATATTCTAATTAATAAATATACACACAAAAAGGAAAAATAAATATTTAAAGCCTAATACCCCCTCAAGCGGAGCACCGATTGACACAAATGTGAAGCTTGGACCTAAGAAATTCAAATGAATGTCGATGCAAGATTTTAGTGAAGATATCCGCTAACTGTAGATGCTAAGTGACAAACTGAACGCATATCTTTCAAGCAACAATGAAGCTTAAATATGAAAAGGTAATTGATATTAATTTGTTTTGAACACTTTTTAGTAAGATTGATGGAACTCTTATTGTCGCATAAGAGTGTGGCAGTAGTAGAGGATGACACATGAAGATCACGTAGAATGTGTGTAACCCATAAAACTTCAGCAACAACATTGCATGATCCTGATATTCAAATTCACAGTAGGAGCGATGTTGGAAAAAGTAGGGTTTGTAGTGGAGATCTAGATACCAATTTGGATTGTGAGAACACTTTCTGAACTAATATTTCTACCCTATGCCTGGGTTGCAAGAAATTCAGCTTAAGATAATCCAAGTAGACACTTACGATTCTAGGCACATAAATCGTAAGCCAAATTGCTAGAAATATTATGTGAGAGTTTGAAGAAAACGAGAGCTAATATTCAGGTGTATCTTCTCAAAATGAAGAGTCGTTTATATAATAAACGAGATTATGATTTCATTAGGGTTGGGTCATCATTAGTTGCTTTGGAAGCAAGTCAGGGTAATCCGAATTTTAATGAGGATTTAGGGTTACCAAAACTAACGAGCTTCATTAGTTTTACCATAATCACTCTCAAGAATCTGAATTTCCCACTATGTTTCCATATCTAAAATTTGGAGAGGTTTAGGGTTACCAAAACTAACGAGTTTTGTTAGTTTTACCATAATCATCCTCAGAATCTGAATTTCCCACTATGTTCCCACTGTGTCAGGTGAATCATCGGATTTTAATTAGCCAAGGGCTCTGCCCCCTTGGACCCCGCTAGGGGAGCTGCCCCTAAACCCCGCCAAAGGGGCACCGCCCCTTTGGAAACCCTAGACCCAGGGGCGCTGCCCTAGGACCCCCGACTTGTCGTCGAACCGACTTCTAATTTGATCTTACATATGTGTGCACTTCGCACCAACCCTGTACATATATTAGAGTACAAATTATGAAGCCCTTTAGCTCACATGTTAGTTCCAGTTACATAAAATGATATGGTGACACTAAAATCACCAACAAAAGAAAACTATGGGTTGCTTTTTAGTTGCCCAATAAATAAGGTTTTCCCCAAAAATATAGCACAATCATAGTAGTAGACGTCTCGTCACTACTAGAAAAAAGGCCTTTTACGACGCGCAAAATACGACGCTCATTGATCTATGTTACGCAAAGGAGAGTGACATTAGAAAAATGTCATCTCTTCAAAAAATTTAAGGATAGAAGACACGCATTATTCCGCGCCCTTAAATTAGTGTCTAAAAAAAACACGGAGGGCACCTATAATAAAATGCGCGTCGTCTAAGGATGTCGCTTTATATTTTTTAATGGAACGCGCGTTCCATCCTTTAATAGTGGGGGAAAGGGGGAAATGAAATTCTGAAAAAATTAAAAACCCCGCCATGCTCTCCTCCACCTTCTTTCAATCGTTCTTCTCTCTCTCTCTCTCTCTCTCAATCAAATACCAAAAATCGACTATTATTGGAACTAGGGTTCTGGTTCTTAGTGAAATCGAAGGTTTTTTGGTCACCAGGCCATGAAATTGATCAAAGGGGTACAGTTTTTGGAACCATGACTATTGTTGGAACTAGGGTTTCAGTTCAAAAACCCTTCATCTACTTCCCTCGATCTTCAGTTCCTCAAGTACTTTCTCAGCCTCTCAATCAATAAAAGAGCTGTATCACAACTACAAATTTAGAGTGATTTCCATATCAAGTAGAACAGTAGATCCATTAAAGTCAAGGTCTCGAAACTCCATGGTCAATCACCATCAACATTCTACTTCTTTATTTGTTCCAGAGGTTTGTCTTCCTTTATTACGAGTTTTATAACCTTTTTAATCAAACTCGATTAGCCCTTGATACCTAATGTTATCTTTTGCGTTGTTGCTTCTGCTCTGTTCTTCTTGAAACCTCCCCACACTCTCATGTCGAAACATAATTTATGATATCGAGTTGGAAATCAATAGAAATGGCTATGAAGGTCGGTTGGGTTGGACGATTCTCTGGAGGACGAGAGAGATTTGGACATGGCAGATCGTAGGGCTACAGAGATTGAGCTTGATACAATGGAGGGTTTTGCGTCAAGGGAAAAGCTCCACTATCATCTCAACGACCAAGGTTGGTTAGGGTTTCTGTTTTTTTTTTTTCTGTTTTATTTCCATTCCTTCACCATCACCAATGTTACTTTGTGCTTCATCTGATGTACGATTACCTTCTCCTTGTTATGGTGGCAATACTCCTATGGGTTGCTCTGATTCTCCATGGGATAATTTTGCCCCTTCTCTTGTTCTAATTAGGGCAATAATGAGAGTATGATGTTAGAGATGGAGTACAACTCTGAGAGTATAAAGGTTGTTGCAATACATATTTGCATTAATTATTCCATTAGACTCTCTGGTATTGATGTCCTCAAAATAGGGAGCTTAGACATACTCTCAAGTGTCAACATTAAAACAACAGATTGAATTCTTCATTTAATGTAGAAAAATTTGAAAGTTGTAATAAAACTTTATAATGATGTAATAAGGTAACATTAGTATTATAGCTACAGCAAAGTCTACAGTTGGTTTGGAATTTTAAAATGATTAGGTTTCATCTCAGGAATCATGGAGCTTAACTTTATTTCAGGAATCATGTACATCCATCTTGGGTCAAATCTGAATTACTAAGCTATAAACAGGTTTCCACATCAATGGTACAACACATGCTTGATTACGTTTTGGAAAAGTCAAGTCCATTAACTGGTACCCTACATGCAAAAAAAAAAAGAAAGTAAAAACCCATTTGAAACCTGATGACGCTGGCCATACCTGATGCAACAAGCTCACATTTTTAAGCACATTACTTGACATTTTGTTACTAAAGAGCGACATAGACAACATGTCTGATCTTAAATTCTTGGATATCTCTGATTTTTTTCTTCTCACTCAATTTAGTAAAGAAATGACATCCCCACAGAGTTGCTAACTATTCCAGCAATACGGTCACATCTGTGATCTGTTACTGTAGAGTTGCTAATTATTTAAGCTAATCACATGTTTTTGAACTTTAAACTATTACATCTTTATATAAAAAATGTTACAGATATGAATCTTAATAGTTTAATAAGGAATTGGGATATCAAGTTGAGGATGCAATCTGAAGTGGCTTCTTCTACAAGGGGTTATTTTGAACAACAGTCATAAATAATTCTTATGTAATTTAATAATAAGTAAATTTATATAAAGCCTTGAAGAAATTAGCAAAAAAAGTGTTAAAGTAAACATTGCAGTATGGATTGAAACTATTAAGTTATTGATTTTTGTTCAAAATCTTACAAAATATAATGTTAAAAATGTTTATGAAGTCCTCAAGCTTCTATTGCAGGTGTGTCAATATAGTGAAATTTTACACTTTATAATTTCACATAATTATGAGCCATAAAGAAAACAGAAGGTCCTGGTACATTTTATTTATTTATTTTTGAAACAGGGGGAGGGAAATGAAAAGATCCCTACAGATGTTCAATCTTCTTCTTCTTCTTTTTCACCATCTAGACACCATGAAAGGAAAGTTCTTTTTGTGTGTTTTCATGACTATTACCTTTTCTTACTTAATTAACATATGTAGGTGTGGGGGTGTTATCGGAAAATACGTTGCAGGGGAACTGAAGCCACCTTCTCTTGGTAAGTGGAAAAGTTTTTTATGTGATTATATATGTTGCAGATCAACCGAGTTGAATTTATTCACTGTAAATCATTTCTACATAGGGATATAAAGCCAGACAACTTCCTTATGAGTTTAGGGAGGTGTGCTAATCAGGTTTCATTCCATAATTTGTTCCATATTTCATTGTACATTTTGTTTTTTTTTATAGTTTTATACATAAAACATATATAAACCTACATGTTACAGGTCCATGCTATTGATTTCGGGCTAGCCAAGAAATATAGAGACTCTTCAACTCATCGGCACATTCCATATAGGTGAGTGAATTTTTTTTAAACTTTCATCAGCAATCTTTTATTCATAAAAAAGTGAACCCTAATCAATCTAAATTTTATATCTTATAAATTGCAGAGAGAACAAGAATTTGACAGGGACAGCTAGATATGCAAGCATGAACCCAAGCCTGATGGAACATAAGAGGTTAGTTTAATGTGAACTTATTGTATGTTTGATAGTTGTTGGGAAATGGGAATAATGATTGATGTAAAAACTGCAAATAATAACTAATCTTAGATGGGATGTCATATAGGTTTTGAATCTGAAGTAGAATAAGAAAATCACCATCTGAATCTATTTGTTTGTGTTGTAATCATAAAACATTTTTCAGGAAGTTGGCAAATTGAGAAAAAGAGAATGCATCATCTGTACTTTAAGGTATGGTGAAAATATTTAGAGAAGTTGCCATTTATCTTGATTGTCTTTGAATTTCAAAATTTGATGAGAATAGGGAATTTATACTTGTGGGTACTACTTTATTTTGATTGTTATAATTAAAGTATTAAAGAGGAAGCCGAGTAGTATAAGGTGGAGTTTGGATGAGCGTTTTACGACTTTTGTGTTATAATTAAAGTATTAAGGAGCTGTTTGGATGAGTGTTATAATTAAAGCATCAATACAATCCAAAAATCACCAAGATTTGCATCCTTGTGTTTTCATAGTATTTTCCTTGATCTGTTGTTTTATAGTTCTCATGTGTAATTATTTTTTTCCTTGATCTGTTGTTTTATAGTTCTCATGTGTAATTATTTTTTTCTCTCAGCTTCCTGCACCAAAGTGAGGTGAGATTGTTAGACAGATTGATGATCCACAAAGAACCAAGCTTCAGTTTCTTGGTAGGCTTCTATCACTTGAAATGGAAAAAATTCTTCCAAAATGAATAGGGGAAGTTCAAGTATGTACTTAATCACTTTTAGTTATCATCGCATCTTATTAAGTTGTATCTTATTAAATAAAGTTTTTTCATGGCAGGAATTCATTGTTATGTGCAAATTTGCTGTGGGCTTAAGCCGACAATTTAACAAATCGGTCATACCTTCTGAACGTAAGATCTATTCCCATTTCCTTTCATATTTCAAAAATAAAGAAAAATAACATTACAACCTTAATTGGTTACCTTCTATCTTATAAACTGTTAAATGTTGTTGTGTACGATGGAATGCATGCATTGCTCTAGTCTGCGGAAATGCTTTTATTTGGTAAGTGATACCTAAACCTTGAGAAATGTCAATCTTATCCTTGAAAACCTTAAAGGAAATAGTACATTTCAATAATTGCTCTAGTCTGCGGAAATGCTTCTCTCCCTCATTTACCGTACATTTCATTTGATGCCTACTACTGCACTTTTAATATAAGGGTAAAAAAAGTTTTATAAATCTCTTGTAGAGTTGTATTTTATGAGGAAAGATTCAAGAATGAAGAAAAGTAAGTAATCTTATGATATTGTGATTGTCCCTTTTTCTGGATCAGGTTTAATTTGGATTTCAAGCTCACCAACATCTCCAATTAATGAGGGATCTGTTACACTTAAGAATATCAGCTTATCAAGAGCATCACTTGCATTACTAAAAGAAGGTTTCTTGTTAGAACTTTTGTTTTTAAAAACGATAAAAGATGGAAATCAAGCATGAAACATGTAGACTGTAGAAATGTTTTTACATGTAAATTTATATATTGTAAGAAATAGAATTGTAAGACATTAAATTTTATGAAATGGATTATATTTTTTGTATATGATATTTTATTTTATATTGTGAGGCATTAAATGCAAATTTAATTTGAAAATTAGTAAATCTATAAAAAATAATTTTTTTTTTTAAATTTAAAATTATGATACGCAAACATGCGTGTCATCTTCATTCATGACATGGCCTTTCTTGACAGAGGCTTTCTTGATGCGCATTGCGTGTCATTAACACGCGCGTCGTAAGGTTACGACATGCGAATGCGTATCGTCTTCCTTTATGACAGGGTCTTCCTTGATACGCATTGCGTGTCGTAACCGCGCGTCGTAAATGCGCGTCGTCTATAGATGACGCGCAAAAGCGCGTCGCCTCTTTTTATGATAGTGCCTTCCTTGACACGCATTTGCGCGTCGTCTGAGCGTTTTACGACGCGCAATGAGCGTCGTAAAAGGCCTTTTTTCTAGTAGTGCGTCTCTAAGCACCGTATGTCCGTATCCAATCAACATATGAGTAATCAAGTATAATATAAATTGTCCGAGAACGGTGATGTTGAGATCATAATGGATTTTCCCATGAACATATCACAATATGTGTTTGACCTCAGTAAAGTGTATATCAGTAGGTGCTTGTAAATAATGGTTGATAGTGAGATATTTGAGAGCATGTACTAGCGAGCAATAGAACGTGGGATCCTTAAATGGGGAGCTAGATGTAGGGGTGGTAATTGATGACATGGCACGACAAAACTACACGACATGAAACGAAATTGGGACAAAATTGAAATTTGAATTCGTGTTCGTGTTGTTTTCATGTCAAGTGTAAAAAACATAGTGTTGTGCCGTGTCGTTTTCGTGTTCAAAATACGACACAAATCTGACATGATTTAACATTTATTTGTCGTGTTTTTCATGTTTGCCGTGTTATTTATCATTAAATAGTAGTTATATAAACTAATTGTTATTTTATGTTATCTTTTTTGTATTGTGTCGTGTTTGTCATTTTTTAATTGGTCAGTTTTCGTGTTAGTTAAAAAACACTACACCGTGTTATGTCATATTTGTGTTACATAAAATACTTTCGTCTCGTGTCGTGTCAGAAAAAACACGACACGATGACCCGATTTGCCACCCCTTGCCAGATGTACAATGAAGATGAGAACCGACAGAAGGAGATGTGTACAAAGGCTTAACATCCAACATTTTTGTACACACGAGAATATCACTTGGCATGTTTTTCTTGTCCAAGAAAGAACCCATCCTTGGTGTAATAATCCTCTAAAGCAAGGATATAACTAAGGTGCCTAGGGTTTTTTAAGGAGAAATCTTGATCAAATTGATTATTAAAGGTCTTCAAGAGTAACAGATCATTTTCCGGTGAATACGATATCATCAACGTAAACAAGAAAATAAATAATAGTATAACCACATGACTACATAAATAATGAAGTATCAAATAGTCGTTAAATCATTTAAACCAAGCTTTAGGAGCTTGTTTAAGACCATAAAGGGATTTCTTGAGGTGACATACATAATCGAAATAACAAGCATCCACATAATCCAAAGATTGTTTCATATATACCAGTTGATCAAGAATGCCATTTAAAAATGATTTTTTAACATCAACTTGATGTAGAGACCATTGATTGATGACAACCAAAGAAAGAATTATTCAGAAAAGCCTTAATGACATGAGTGAAAGTGTGTGTAAAGTTGAAACCAAGAAGGTGAGTGAAACTGTGAGCAACTAGTCTAGCCATATGTCGATCAATTGAGCCATCAACTAGATATTTGGTGCAATAAATCCATTTTGAACCAATACTATTAGTACCCGGTGGCATAGGTCCCAATTCCCAAGTTTGATTGTGTCGAAGTGCATTCATCTCTTCGTACATGGCACAAATTCACAATGTACTTTTTTTTATTGATGATTTAAAACCCTTTGGAGTGGTCTGGTGAAAGATGGTTGCAAGTAATCATATGAGGATGGGTATGATACGGGGTCTGATTTGGTTGTATAACAGGAATGGACATAGATCGAGACCCAATGGAGGTTAGTGGGATGTATGTTAGACATGTTGGCTATTGATGTGGTTGTTGAGGGGGTGACCAATCAGACATAATGGACATGATTGGTCTAGAGTAGTGGCATATCCAGATTGCACTTCAATAGATTTTTTGTGGAGATGGCCGAGAACATAAATCCAAAGTGTTAGGAAAATTCGAGAATTAAAATTGTGTTAATCGAGAATCAAATGTGACACTAGAATAGGGAAAACAAAGTTCATAAAAAAGAGCATGTAGGGTGACGTATGTTCACCTAATAGAGTCGTCTATGCAACAAAAACATTTATACTACGAGTTGTAACCAAGAAAGATGCACTTAATGCTTCTTGGAAAAAAACATGAGATGCAAAATCACAAGCATGTGGGAAAACTCTACAACCAAAAGGATGAAAGTTTTCTTAGGAAGGTGACTTGCCAAAAATTTATTCATATGGGCTGCAATCCTATAAGACTTTCGAAGGAATTCGATTGATAATATAGACAACAGTGCAAAACGCGTCTACCTAATGAATTAAGGGTAAAGAATAATGAAAAAGCATAACAAGTCCAATCTAAGTAATATGCTTATGTTTCCATTTTGCATGTCTATTTTGTGTTGAAGTCGATAGACATGAAAGCTGGTGATGAATACCAAACTAGTAAGTAAAGCTTGAAATCGTTTATTATTAAATAATGTTCCGAACATTTTTAATGTGGCTTGAAAATCGATTCTCCACTAATGTATGGAACTACACAAAAATGACATAAAATTTTGATTTACGTCAAAATAGATAGAACCAGGAGAATCTCGAAAAGTCATCCACAAATATGCGATAATATGCATAACCTATTTTAAATAATATGCGTATCGAACAACAAATCAAAATGATCCAATTCAAATATAGTAGTACTATGCTTGTTATTGTTCAAGAAAGACAAATGCTTGCTTTTAGTCTTTTGACAAGGCATACAAAGATATGGAGATGGCAACCTTGAAGTAAAAGATAAATGACCTTAATTCTTTAAGAATTAAAGAGTATCATATGAAGCATTACCAAGCCGCGAGTGCCATAACTCAAAAGAGGCAATCAATTTATTTAAACATACAGATAAGAGAAAAGCTTGCCACCCATGATCAAATATGTAGAGCCCTTGTTCATGCTAGCCTCTTTCAAGAATTTCTTGTTACAAATAATGTCCAAGGTCATTAACAATTTTTATAATATTTCTAATAATATAAGGTCATTTTAGGTTGACCTCATGGTATAAATAACATAAGGAAATAAAAATAAACAAGTTGTTAATTTATTAAGGAATTAATAAACTAATTAGAAATTATTTTTGTAATCAATTAAAAGGTTTGAATATTAACTAAGTAAATGGATTAATTAGAATATTCCAGAACCTCTATAGAGCTTCATATGGACCGTTTGAGCTATCTCTTGGATATGGATAAGATTGATTTGAATTAGATAAGGATAAATGTAACACTCCTATTTCTCCCTAGGCATTTATGTTTGTAATAATGTAAACTTTTTTGTGAATAAATGAATAAGAATTATTAAAGCATAACATGTGTTTATATAAAAGGGATCTCTCTCTCTCTCTCTCTCTATATATATATATATATATATATATATATATATATATATATATATATATATATAATGTGCATGAAATTTGGACAAATATATTATGTAAAAGCTTATTTTAAAACTTAACAATTTGGGCTAAGTAAACACTTATGATTAAAAATGTATTTAGGATAAATAATCTAACGAAAGTCATAGTACTCGTAATTACGAAGCCGTAGGTATAAAGAAAGCAAAAATCTAACTTCATATGAAGAAATTATGATTTTTTGAAGTTTCACATTCAACACGTTGCACTGATGCGTGTCGTAAAATGTGAAATGGTAATTTTGGTGTTACACCCCTCTTTTTCGACTAATAATAACCAAATATATTTTATGACATTAGCTATCTATTAATAAAATTAGGTAGGTCATAAAATAATATCAATCATATATATATATATATATATATATATATATATATATATATATATATATATATATATATATATATGATAAGATTTTATTATAAAATGTATGTTGATTTTATTAGAAAATAGTTGAGGGATCATTCGTGTCACTCGAAGGATATATTATGTTAATAAAATTAATTGAGGGACCAAAAATGTAATTATAATTGATTGGTGAATTGTAATTGGTCCAACGAAACGTACTTTTAATAAATTTAAGAAGTATGTACATAATTTTCACTACGTGTTGTC